CGGTTCATCTTTTTTTTTTTCTTTTTTTTTTTTTTTTTTTTGTCAGAGGATGTAAGCATTTACCAAAGAGAAGGCAAGTGAGAAATTGCCTACCATGGGGGATAGGCATGCTATAGTCTCTTCCTTGTTTCTCCTTTTGGGGTTTGGGGCTTACACACACCCACACCCAGCATGGATTTCAAGCCTCTGATTCTGGACCTCCAGTGTGTGGTAGGCCATGTGGGGGACTAGCTGTGCTACTACACCACAGCCTGGCCCTACAGTTTTTTTTTGTTTTTAATTAGCCAGAGGATGTCTGTCCTCACCAGAGACAGAGGGGTAGGGAGAAAGCACCCCAATTGGGTTGTGATCACACTGCAGTTCTTTCTTTATTTCTCCATCCCATTGGATTTGAGCATGTACACTCAGATAGCCAGCATGTTTTTCAAGCTACTGTGTCCGGGATTCAAACTGCATGGTCTATTATGCAGGATCTGGCTTCCTTAACTACTAGGTCACTATGCAGGCCTCAACTTGGGTGTTTTAATGTAAATTTTGCCTTATGTTAATTACATTTTGAAATGTACTGTTCATTATGTCAGATACCAGGTAGACAAGATACACAGCAAAATTGCTACATTACAGAATTAAGTGGTATCCCAAATCACTGTTTGGAAATACTGAGTTTATGAGTATTTCTCATTAACCCAAACCAAGTCAAGAGCCAAAGCCAGTAGTGGAAAAATCCACAGCTGATGAATTCTTGTCTTTTAAAAATTTTCTCATATAGAAATTCTGTTCCTTATAACTTTATAAAGGTTTTTCAGAAAGATCATCCTCCCTTTAATCCTCTAGTGGCAGAAATGAGATTGTAGGAGAAGTTACAGGGTTGGAATATAAATAGGAGTGATTCATTTTTTATATTTTTGTGCCCACACATCTTAAATTATGATTCCATTCCTAATTTCTAATTCCCTTGGCCAGTTGGGAAGACAGCTAGCATATTTTATCACTGTGGGATGAGGGGATTCTTGACATAGAACCTTTAGTTAGAGTGTCTTTGAGTGTCTTAGGAGTCTTCAGCACTAAGGAGTATGAAGTGATATAAGTGAAATTACTTTGTAAAATAATTGGATTTCAAAGGTACATAAACATAATTTACAAAAAAATAAATGGTTTTGGACAGTTCTATATGTTGACACTAAAATATTAATATTTAATACCTTTGGTACTTCAGTTGAGTGTAATACTTGATAAACACTTGTATTCTGAGTTCCATAACTATAAAGATATGCATGGCTTAATGGCTAAAAAGTATAGAAAATCTGAATGCATATTTTTTGGTATTGATTAATTATGACCAACATAGAAATTATATAGTTTTCTTAAATATCAAGGTACAAAGCATTACTCTTTCAACCAAAACATAATTTTTTAAGTCTCATTTTGATTTTAGATACTAAACAGTATGTATATATATATATTAGATATCAAACAGTATGTATTAAATAGTAATGACTTACTGTTTGTGCTCAGTGATTTCTAAATTCCCCTATTAATTTTAATGAACAAAATGATATCCATCTAGTTTTAAAAATGAGTGATTTTTACCATCTTAATGTTAAAGTATTTCAATGTGAGTTTATAAGCCAGAGTCTTTGCTCAAAATAAATTGAGCTCAGTGCAAATTTGTATTCCCTCTGAAAACATGGCAATTCTGAACTCAAAAGTTATAAACAACCTAAAAAGGTTTGTTTTCTGTATTTGGATACTTTATTGGAAAGTGTGATTTATCTAGAAGTTGGCAGGTTTTAAATGAGAACCGATATGCTTGTTGATTTTTATATCTAATAAAAGAACAATTCTGATATTCTTTTACTAAGACTTATTCCACTCTAAACAAGTGCATTTAAAGTTATTCTCATGTTTAAAGTAAGCGAACTTTTTTTCTACTTATAAATATTTAGATATTAGGAATTTCTCATAGAACATTATTTTTCTTCCATCCCACTACCTGTTTTTAAATATAGATTAAATCGGATTTCTTTGAACTATTATCTAATCATCACTTGGACAGTCAGTCTCGATGGAGTAAAGTCAAAGACAAAGTAGAAAGTGACCCACGTTATAAAGCGGTGGATAGCTCATCCATGAGAGAAGACCTTTTCAAACAGTACATTGAGAAAATAGCCAAGGTAACCACTTTGTGAACTTGTACTGAAAGCATTGAATAATAACATTTTTCATTGCATTTAAGGATAGTTACTGCTATTTGGTGGGGTTGGAATTTTTGTTGTTAATCATGCTTACCAGGAGAATCTTTGGTAGTTGATTTTGAGATGAGGTACAATGCTTAAGTATCTTTTTGGTATGAACTAGGTTTGAAGTATTTTTTTTGGCAAGCTAGTTATTCTGTGAAAACATTTTGATGGAGTTGGTAAGAAGGATAATGTTATTTTTAACTTTTACAGAATTTAGACTCAGAAAAAGAAAAGGAGTTGGAAAGGCAAGCCCGCATCGAGGCAAGCCTTCGAGAACGAGAAAGGGAGGTTCAAAAAGCTCGTTCAGAACAAACAAAAGAAATAGATCGAGAGAGAGAGCAACATAAACGAGAAGAAGCTATTCAGAATTTCAAGGCTCTTCTGTCTGACATGGTATCTATTAATCATTTACTTTTTTTCCTATAAAGTACTGGATATTAGAAGTCCATTATATTATTTTACTATTAGCACTTTAATGTTCCTTGAATTTACTGAGCAATAATTTGGTAAGTTATTTATAAAGCATTTAAAAATTAAATACTTTGTATTAGCTTTGTTATTATAGAAAATTCCTAGTTAGCAAATTCAGAAGTTAGATATCTTGTATATGTGAATTTTATAGTCTTTTAGTCTCAAACTTTATTGATCTTGACAAAAATCATCCTAAACTGTTACACATTTATCTGTCATAGTGTTCACTGTTATAGCACAGTGTACTCAACATAATCTTTGTATTGGTGACATAGGGTCTTCATTGAAATGATTGATTGTTGTGCATGTTATCGGATAGCATGAAATATAGACTGGAGGTGTACTGGCCCTAGGACATACGCTGAAACTTCCTTAAAAGTCATCTCCCTTACTTGGTAGCTTTGTTTTTTGTCCGTACATTAAATACCCCGAGACTGCTGTGCTTTACTACTGTTTATGTTTTTGCCTTCTCTCTTCCATTCTCTGTTCTATACTGTTTCTTTTCTCTTTTTCCATAACGCTTTTATTTTACTCCTGTCTCCTTTTAATTTCTTCCTCTGTCTCTGCCTTTGTTCCTTTTCATGCACTCTAGACCAAATTACAGTAGTTTTCTAATTTTTCCTTCTACCTCTGACATTCTCCCACACTCATCTTTTTTGTAACCACAGAGATTAAAGCAAATTGATTTTGTCACTGTCTTGGCTACCTTCAGAGAGTGAAGGTTCTCCATTCTCCCAGCAGTTGTATACAGGTCAATTTCATTCTCCTTACCATAATACAAAATCTATTCATTCCTTGACTCCTCCAGCTTCATATTATCTTATCATTCTTGCTTTCCTCATTTGATTTCTAAGTTCCAGCTTCTCTGAACTTATTTTGCCATAGGGTGGGCACCACCCCACGCCCTCTGAACTTATTTTTAATGAAGCATAACATGCTCCTCTCTCCACCTAAAATGCACTGAATCATCCACTGCAGTGACATACTTTTTAAAAAAGAATCATTTATTTAATTTTATTTAATACATTATTATTATTTTTTAATTGGCATAGGGCACATGTGCTCACCAGAGAAAATGAAAAAGCAAGCCATCAGATTCAGGATTCGAACTGCAGTCAGCTACGTGAGAATCCAGTGCCCCAACCACCACGCCACCTGTTGGCCCTGTGACACACTTTCTGATTCTTGGAGAGTATACATAAATCTTTGTTTGAGGGCTGCTCCTGACCCATCTAAGAAGATTTGATCTAACTATTCCTTTTACTCCTCTGTGCTTAGCATTCACCTCTGCAGCACTTAATGCATGTTATTGCAGTTATTTGCTTATGTTATTCTACCTTTAAAACAGGTGAGGATTGGGGCCAGCAGGTGGCATGGTCATTAAGGTGCTGGATTCCCACTGGGCTGACCACAGTTGGTGTCCTGGTCCTGGTGGCTTGAAATCATGCTGGGTGCGAGTGCTTGTGTGCCCAAGATCTTGAGAGGAGAATGGAAGAGAAGTGGTTGTGGCATGACCATCCCTCCTAGGGGTGATTTCTCACTTTCCCTCTCTCTTTCACAAGGGCACAAACACTGTGACTAAAACCTAAACAAAAAGAAAAATACGTGGGGGAGTTCTTTGAAGGAAGGAGACACAGTCTTACTTATTTGTAGTCCCAGTGCCAAGCACAATATATTCCTTATTTATGTATTTTTTTGAGATAGATTTTTTGCTATAGGACATGTGGCGAGACAGAGACAGACAGACAAAAAGCGAAAAATCACCCTCCAGGGGGAATGGCCACGTCACAATACCTCCTCTGGTTGGAATTTTGGGCACGCACGTATATGCTCCTGGAGTGAGCTTTAAGTCTCCAGGTCCAGGACTCAAACTACATCAACTACGTGAGAGTCCAGCGATATAACCGTTACACCATCTGCTCGTCCCGACTATATTAATTCTTGCTTATGCTTGGATCTGTCCCTTCTAGTAGTAATTGATGAATTTGAAATTTAGCCCAAGATTTGTTATATGTTTGGGTTTATTCCCTTTTTTGGAGATGCTTAGATTTAAAAGACAAAAATATATTTTCCCTTTTAATTCTTTTCATTTCTCATATTACAAGTTGGTAGGTACCCAAGTACTATTCAAGTTCTTATTGCATCATTATCCCCACCTTTCTTATCCTAAAACCAATTTTGATAGCTTAGGTGAACATTGGAAGCTAACATTTCTGACTTTAAACAAAATAGGTTTTCAGTGATTTCTTAACTAAAGTAAATAAGCTTATCTTTGCAAATACATGTTGCTTGTTAATTAGCTTAATGATCACCTCTATTGTTCGAAACTAATGAAGTTGGTAGAAGTTCTTTTTATATGTGTGTGTTTGTTTTTTATTTTCTTTTTTAAGACTTTTGTGCCACAGGGAGCTTGACGTGGGGGGAGAGAAAGGAAGTGAGAAGTCCCCTCCCCAGGGGCTGGCCATACCTCAGTCTCTTCATTCCTCTTTCAGGATTTTGGGCAGTCACACACAGGTGCCCAGCTTATTTTTTAATCTACCAGTCTGGTACTCAAACCAGAGATGGCCATGAGGAATTCAGTGCCTTAACCACCATGCCACTTGCTAGCCCTAGAAGTTCTTTTTGAATGGCTTTTTAACATAGGAGTCATTTTTTGTACGGTCTAGTCAAGAGTCTAGTCAATTAGCTTTCAGAATATTAATTGTTGCTTAGTTACTGAATGACTCTACCCTTTTAAAATTGAAATTTTGTAATTTTAATAATTGAGCCTTTTGTTATTAAAATATGAAAAGCTAAATCTCTGGTGATATAGTTTGTTCCCTGATTGTCATTTAGGTACGTTCTTCAGATGTGTCATGGTCTGATACTCGGAGGACTCTCCGGAAAGATCATCGCTGGGAATCTGGATCATTATTGGAAAGAGAGGAGAAGGAGAAGCTTTTCAATGAACACATTGAAGCACTTACCAAAAAGAAGAGGGAGCACTTTAGGCAACTTCTGGATGAAACTTCCGCAGTAAGAGTCCCTTATTTTGCCTCTTATAATCTGGTTGAATCTTCATTGATAATTCCAAAAAGTAAAACTGATAGGCTTTTTAGTGTCATGGTCTTTAGTTCCTTTACTGGAATTCATGGGTTTTAAGACACTTTTCTTCTCTGACTTTTTAAATGTCATAGCATTCTTAACTATTTAGAAATAGCTCCTTTTTGCAGTTTTAAGATTCTTTCTTCTCCTATAATAATTCAGAATGTCCTCAGCTATGTGTGATCAGTGATTTCCTCCTGATAATAGATTTAGTAAATTCCTTCTTTTGCTCCATTTTCCATGTGGTACTATGGCCCATTGTTTGGCAGTTTGTACACTTTGTTATTCAGGTTTTTGTTCCTGTTTATCTGCTCTCTTTTTGGTGATGGTTTCTTCAGAAGTTATGATGTTTGCCCATGTAAATACAGGGTTTGCAGGTGATTGTCTTAGGCCACCTTGAAAGTATGGCCATGAAAATAACTCTTGTGGCAAGCCAACAAAAAGAAATTGCATTAACGCTGCTTCCCTGTCCCTAACTAGTCCAGTTACGCTTGGGCATTACGAGAGATCGCAGGTCAGTGTGTAATATTATGTACCATATGTGCCGCAGTTTGACCCCCTAAATAAAAGTGAGTTGTATTTATGTTTCTTATTCACCTGTCTTTTTAAAGATAACCTTAACATCTACGTGGAAAGAAGTAAAAAAAATCATTAAGGAAGATCCTCGGTGTATTAAGTTCTCCTCCAGTGATAGGGTAAGAGGGTTTTGTGTCTGACATTTACTATCAACTTATAAATATAAGTTAGGTGTTTAGTCAGCAACACTAGTATCTTGACCAAAATGAAATCAATGATTTTAAGTGAATTACTTCTAGGTATATGAGAAATGAATCTGAATTTTAATTTCGTATTTAGTACCTTGCATGATAAATTAGTAAGAGAGCACAATGGAAAGTTAGGGGAAAAAAATAGCCTCCTTCCTTCCATTAAAAGGGAGGGCAAGGAGCAGGTACTCTTAATAGGGTTTTACAATGCCATGATCTCCTCCAAGCCTCTCAGATAGCTAGGGTCATGGCAATATTGCTGTGGTTAGGTCAACCCAGGATCAGATATTTTGAAAGAATTATTTATTTTATTTATTATTGGGTTGTCAGAAAAGTCATGGAGCTAGCAGGTGGCATGGTGGTTGAGGACCCTGAACTCTGACATGGCCAACCGTGGTTTGAGTCCCAGACCTGGCGGTGTGCTTTCTCACTTTCTCTCTCTCTCTCTTGTTCTCACTCTCTTTTCTGTATCACTCTCTGGTCAAATTTACATAAATAAATAAAATTAAATAAAATAAAATAATTCTTTTTTAAAAGTCATGTTGTATTTTTCTATGCAAAAATGCACCATAATTTTTCCAATGACCTAATATTATTTTTTAAAATTTTGACTAGGAAGAGACACAGGGAGAAAGGGAAAGTGAGAAAGAAGCCACTAGGTCCAGCACTAGAACTGTGGCCGGCCATGTGGAAGGTCCAGCGCCTTTAAACACCATGCCAGCCCTAGTTTAAAATTTTAATCCTTGGAGTTATGCTTGCTTTTGGGATCTTAGAGATTTAATGAACCTATAGTTTTAGTGTATTTTTTAGTTAGGTCCTACTAAACATATTTAGGCTGGTACCATGTTATCAAAGCACCTGACTCTTAACCCATGTGAACAGACTACCACAGTGAGCTCCTTAGTGTTTGTGTGCTACAGAAACTTGGGAGTGGAGGAACATCTCAGATATGTGAGGTTTCTAAAAGCCGAAACCTGTTTTCATGCACTCTGACTCCTTTGTGGAAAACACATTCACATAAGGTCTGAAACACAGAAAGATGTCAAGAGAAATGTTGCTTACTATAATAAGTTTTATCTCTTACCCTTTTATTAGTTCCATCTGCCTGTCATTTCCCTTTTTTCATTGGATTCTCTAGATTTGGGTTTAAAAACTCAGGTCTAATATTCTCCCCCCTTAGAACTCTAGTAAGTTGCATTTTCGGTATGTGAACTACAGAATATACATGACTAGGGAGAAGAACAGTAGACTGAGAGCTGCTTCAGTTTCTAACCTTTCTATTCAGAATTGATAATACGATCTGTTTTTAGCACAGATAATTTTCTTAAAATTATTTATCTTTACTATTTTTTAATTTGCTACAGGGTACTTGAATTCACTAGAGACAGAGAGAGAGAGTGAGAGCGAGAGAGAGAGCGCACGAAAGTGAGAAAACAAGCTGCCAGGTCTGGCACTTGTTGGAGTTCAGCCATGTGGGAGTTCAGTACCTTAACTACCATGCCACCTGCTGGCCCCAGCACAAAGAATTTTTATATTTCTTATTACTATTCCCTATTGAAACTAAATAATTTAAGTTCTGAATGTTATCTTATAGTTGGTGTGTTCATAAATTTTACTACATTAGTTTCTTTGTGTCTGGAGATAGAAATACAGTCTGTAGGAAATAAGCACTTGAACCCTTAATGTCCCTGTTTTTGAGATTGTCTCAAGTTGTTAAGGAGATAGGAGATGATGCTTGTAAGGCACTCAGTCGTATGTCACGTAGCAAACCCCCAGGTTTTAGCTACTGTTAATATATTGCGTAGTTCCTTATTTTTGCTTCCTTCTTGTCTTTATGAACAAAAATGTACCCTATTGCCTTTTTCTTTTGAATTTTTTATTTTATTACAGACTTACACATTACTGATTTAATAAAGAATAGATATTTTGGAATTAGTGGGTCTTCCCCCTAATTAATACTTCTTTTTTTCTTTGCAGAAAAAACAAAGAGAGTTTGAAGAATACATCAGAGACAAATACATCACAGCCAAAGCCGACTTCAGGACTCTCTTGAAAGAGACCAAATTTATAACATATAGGTGTGTGCAATGAAATGTTTCATGTCAGCAGTCATTGTCTTTACTAGTCTTTACTCTGATAGCCAAAGCATACTTTGCATTCACACACATGTTGACATTATTAATTTTTAGGAATAAGAAGATCCCAACTTCTATCCAAGGCCAGATACATCCCATATCTACCAGAGCTTTTTTTCTTCTTTTTAAAGAAAGGGCCCAGATGTCAATTCTGATTTTATGTTACCCACCCATCCAGTTTTTAAAACATCTTTGTTTTTAGTTCACTGCTTTTTCAGAACTACCCCCAACTATGTAAGAATTGTATTTCTGGAAAGACTTATAAAATAATCCTTTACTATCAATTGCCTTTATCTCCTTAAGATTATTCAGTATGGCTAGGCCATTCTAAAGCTTGAAATCATCTATTAAAGCTCAGCAAAAACATTTTTCCCTCTCAGGAAAGCAGTTTGGTGGATACCTTTTAAATAAAAATTTCAAATTATAGAATGAAAACCTTAAAACAAGGGTTCTCTGTACCATGCCCAGTAATTCTCCATCCCCAGTGATACGTCATCAGGAAAGCGATTTTGCATTTCTCACCAGTTAGTATGCAAGAAACCATTTTTGTTTCATGCTTCAGCTTTACTTCCTTTAAAGAAAAATTTGAAACATCTTAATGAAGGGTATGTGCACGGGAGGATAGGTAGTGCTGAGGGTGTGGTTTTTAAGAATTTTGTCATTTGGATTTTTTTGGTCAGGATCCTTAATGTTTTGCATCAGCTTGGGCTTTTAAATTAGATGTGAAGTAAGACTTCTTTCTACATTTTTATAGTTAATTAGTGAAAGATGTGAAAGTGAAAGCTTGTGAAAGATGCTGGGATTGGCAGCCCCGCAGACTGAAGTCCTCTGTTCATCCACAGAACAGGTACAGCACGGGCAAGATTTACCCACCCACCCTCAGCCCTGATCTGGAGGGACCACCAGTAGGGGTGGGAGGGTAATTCAGCTTCTGAGGCCCTTTCACTCCTTGGAGTCTTTGCTGAGGCAACTTACAAAGGTGACCACTGCAGCAAAATTTTTCTTAAAAAAAAAAAAAAAAAAATGGCAAAACAATTAGGAATTAGATGGAAATTTCCAGCA